GTAGCAGACTGGGCTTCTAACACCTGAACCTCTCTTAACAAGGCATTAAAAATACAAATGTCAATCCCAAGGGAAAATATCCACAATGAACAACACTGTTCAAAATTTTAGAATCAGTATGATTGTTTTTTAAATGAATATGTTTATTCAGCAAAGATGCAATCATCAAAGAATTCTGAAAAAAATATATATCACTGTTTTTTCCAAAAACATTAAGACACACAACTGTTTTCAACATTGATAATAATAAGATTTTTTTTCTTGAGCAGCAAATCAGCATATCATGTGACACTGAAGAAAAATTCTGCTTTGCATCACAGGAATATATTACATTTGAAAATATACTAAAATAGAAAACGGTTATTTTTAATTGTTATAGTATTTCACAGTATTACTGTTTTTACTGTATTTTTGCTCAAATAAATGCAGCCTTGGTGAGTAATATAAATGATTCTTTCAAAAACATTATAAAAATCGTATCGACTCTAAACTACTGAACATTAGTGCATCATGATAATAAATGCAATTTAATTCATGACTTCAATTAAAGATGACTCTTTTGTGTCCCACAGAAAAGAAATGATATAAGTTTGGAATGACATGGTGAATTTTAAATTTGAAAACTGTCTACCTGATGTCATAGACGGGGCTACGGAGGTCATGGGAGCCGTGAGCAAAGGCACAGTGAGGGCCGTTCTTACTGCAGTGGCCCTTCCCATCAGTCTCGTGGATACAGGAACCTGTCTTATAGTACCGCAGGTGATACCGCCTCTCTGTGTCTCCAGCTGTCCGGTGCAGAAATGGACACCTGGCAGTACATAGATAAAGAAAGGCATTAGTATAAATTCAGACAATGTGACTTAAAAAAGGAGTTTGTGCTGGTTCTTACTCATCTCCGTCGGGACATGTCCCCGTGCCCTCGTCGTATTTAACACAGTACACATCAGGACTGTAATTAAACGTTCCATCTCGTTTGCGAATCGGCCTCCGTCGTCTCTGGTTCAGGAAGTGCCAGTGGAAGCAGGTGAAGGGCCGGTGCTGGGTGCACTTGTGCTGCACAAATAAGAGACACTGCTCTGTCCTAAACTCTTTCAGATACCTGAACACAGATAGAGAGACAGGAAGAGTAATGAAGAGTAAATGGTTTAATGGCAAAACTAACAAAACACTGAATGAAAGCATATTTGGACACCATTAGCTCACAGGTGCCCAATCCTGTTCCTGGAGCTCTACCATCCTTCAAAGCTCAGCTTCAGCCCTGGTCAAATGCACCTGAACCAGCTAATTATATGTGTTATGTTCTGTCATGGTTATGACCTGTTTCAGGAATCATGAAAATTATAGTGGGGGAAAAAAACAGATCAGGCATTTTACTGTTGTCATTTACAAGAACGAGGCTACAGAAATTAATTTTAAAATCTTAAAATGTCATGGAAATGTTTATAGTCAAAATATTGTTAACTAGGGGAAGTTATGGCATAATGGTTAGAGAGTCGGACTCGTAACCCAAAGGTTGTGGGTTCGAGTCTCGTACCGGCAGGGATTGTAGGTGGGGGGAGTGAATGTACAGCGCTCTCTTCCACCTTCAATACCACGACTGAGATGCCCTTGAGCAACCCCCAACTGCTCCCCAGGCGCCGCAGCAAAAATGGCTGCCCACTGCTCCGGGTGTGTGTTCACAGTGTGTGTGTGTGTTCACTGCTGTGTGTGTGCACGAAGGTTGGGACAAATGCAGAGCACTAATTCTGAGTATGGGTCACCATACTTGGCCACATGTCACTTTCACTTCACTTTTTTTAGTTATGCTCATCTATATGATACTACTACTATAAAATTATTTAAAAAAAATGTTTACCCAGAAATCACGAATGACTGGATTGTCTTAGAACATCATTTGTTATGTTAATTTTGGTTCTATATTTGGTTCTATATTTAACTGGCTCTGTGTAAGTGCAAAAACTCGTTACAAGCAACGGAAAAGTCACAGAAATCATAGATGTAGGCTAACAAAATTCAAGAATATTTTTTCAAAACATGTCAATGGCCATAATGGAAATATATATATTTTTTTTTAAACAGAAAATATTTTCACCATTTTTTTTAATTCGTTTTTTTATTATGTCTATATAGGCTTTTTATTAAGTTTTATTTTTATTTATTTTGAGTTATTTCAGTACTTCAACATACAAAATGGAAATGAAATAATATATATATATATATTTAATGTATTTATATATATGTGTGTGGCTGTACATACACATATGTAGTTGTTTTTAGGTGTTTGGCTTAGTGTTATGTTAGAATCATTATTATACTCATACCTTTTTGTTCTTTTAATATTTTTGAATTGTTTTTAGCTTTATTTTTATTTTTATTTTTTTCATTTAAATGTTTTAGTTTTGAATTGTTGTTGTATGCATTTGTCATTTTTATTTAATTTATTTCATTTTCTAATGTGTGTGTAAATATATATATATATAGTATTTATAGAGTTTTAGCTTTTAGTTTTAATTACTTTTTCTTATTTGTAAGTCGCTTTGGATAAAAGCGTCTGCTAAATGACTAAAAAAAAAAAAGTAAAAATAAAATATTTAAAAAATGTCAGAGATGCCCTTTGATTTGCCCTCTCATATCATATCACAAGAGAGGGGGGGAAAGAAATAAAAACATCCCAGTGAAGCATATTTGCATTTGTTTGTGCATTGGAATGTAGAGAACATAAAGGGATTTACAAATGTAATTTGTAATACAATATAGGTAGATATATGTGTGTGTGTGTGTGTGTGTGTGTATAATATATACACACCTTGCTACGTGTACTGCGTTAGACTAACCGAGACTTGTCATTTGCACTTATATATTGTTGCTCTTTTGTTAGTTTTGACTGCTTCTATTGTTCTCATTTGTAAGTCGCTTTGGATAAAAGCATCTGCTAAATGACTAAATGTAAATCACAGTAATGCAACATTTACTTTTCATGGCCCTCAGTCAAGTTTGATTTTTGGCCCTTGGTGGTAAAACTTTGGGTGCCTCTGGTCTATAGTGATGATAAGGTTGTTGTTTTTTTTAGAAAAATCACTATAAAATATGTGTCTCCGATCCTTATACAGCAACGAACGACTGGACAAAGGCAAATTCACTGATCAAAAAGTGTGGGCACCCAGTTCCGTGGTGCTTCATGAGAGATCTCGATAGATGTAACTTTAAAAATGATTTCACGATGGCATTATAGACTAATGTAGCGCTGTGTAGTTTGCATTCTTTATTGTGTTTACAAATCACCAGAGCTCTTGCCAGGATGCTCAAGTGCATCTTTCAAAACATCTTATCAATGCAATGCATGCAAACAATCGCACTAACTGTTACTAGGCCTCTATAAAACACAGCTCTTGATCAGCTCATCACAGCCACAAAAACGCATCAGAGGCGTGTAAAATCGCTGATGCATGAAATATATGTGATTTGCATGAGTGATCAGGTGGGTGTAAAGGTGTTTCGCTACGTACGTGTAGTGCTGGGGTTTCTCGGGCTGTGCGTGCAGCACGTTAGCGGGGGACGTCGTGCCACCTGCCGAGGGTGAGGAGCAGGAGGAGGACGATGAAGGTCCCAGGTTGGCCGCGGCACCCGAAGAACCAGCCTGAGATGGTGCTTTCGACATGATTTATCAAATTATGGCCATCAAACAATTTAATATTGGGAGAGCTGCGAAATCCGCATTCTTTTTCGATGTGCGCATGCGCCAGATCTGGCGAGGAGGAAATTCCGGGCCATTGTGACGACGTCGTAGTAGGGAGAGAATCGGTTCTTTTGAACAGTTCGATTCGAACGCCGCTCGGACCAATTCAGTTCAATGCGTGCACGACTCGTTGCGTGAACTGATTCATTAAAAAGAGTCAAGTTAAAAAAAAGACTCGTTCACTAAACGAACCTTGCTACGGCATAGGAGAGTGAAGTTAGAGATAACGAACAGAGGTAAATCCCCAATTTAAGAGCGAGGTGTGCTTCAAATTCAAAGTCGCGACTCGCAGATAAAGGTCTCCAAACGTGATAGTGATTTCTTAATGATAAAAACATAACACTTAAGGATGTTTGTCCGTGCTATGCTTTTTATTTTTACACTTGATGATTTGAGAATATTCTTAAGAACATTTTGTGCTCAATGAAAGCAAGAACATCTGTCCTTTTGTTTATTTGAGTTTACCTGCTCAATACATCTGCATTTACATATTTGACCCTGGACCACAAATCCAGTCATAAGGGTCAATTTCTCAAATTGAGATTTATACATCATATAATAAATAAGCTTTCCACTGATGTACGGTTTGTTGGGATAGGACAATATTTGACCGAGATACAACTATTTGAAAATCTGGAATCTGAGGGTGCAAAAAAAAAAATCTAAATACTGAGAAAATCGCCTTTAAAGTTGTCCAAATGAAGTTCTTAGCAATGCATATTACTAACCAAAAATTAAGTTTTGATATATTTACGGTAGGAAATTTACAAAATATCTTCATGGAGCATGATCTTTACTTAATATCCTAATGATTTTTGGCATAAAAGAAAAATCGATAATTTTGACCCATACAATGTATTGTTGGCTATTGTTACAAATATACCCGTGCTACTTATGACTGGTTTTGTGGTCCAGAGTCACATATAGTATTTGATTAGAGACTAATGGTAGTGGATAATTATTGTTTTTTAATGGTAGTGGAGAATGGTAAATTTATTGTATTCATACTATAACATTTTCCTTTATTGTGCTTATAAAAATGTTTAAAACCTTGTGTATTTACAAGTTTAAATGCAAAAATACATAAATCAAAATTACAACATGTTTGGACACCAATGTGTCCATATAATTTAATGGTGATTTCAATTTCTTGTTTGTTTTAAGTGTTTCATAATATTTGTGTATTGTATGTGTGGGGCATAAATTCTTGTAAAAAAAAAGAGACTCAGTATTTCATGTATTTCTATCAAAACAACACTGCACAAATACAGGATATTACAATAAGGTTTTATCGATCATATACAGTGTACTATTAATACAAACGATAAACTATATATTGTTATAATATAGAATATATAACAATGCAATATATGCATTGTGCTCAAAAACACCTGATGCACACTTCAGAAGATGTCCAGTCCACTCAAGTTCTGAATTTTCATACAAACCATTCTGTATGTTTGAACCCAGCGGCTGTGGCGATAAAAAAAAAAAAAACGGTACAAATGATATTAATTACTTCCAAAATTATTAGGACTTGACATAATTATTTCATTACATCAATACTGTGAATGAAAGTGGTTTCACACTCACCTATACGGTTAACAATCTCTTCACACTCACTACTTGTGGCAGCCTGTAGGACCACACAACAGAAGCCTGACTGTTTGCCTGCTTGCGGTGAATCTCTGAAACCAATTACATGGTTAGTACTGAAAACACAAAGCCTGGAAGAAATGTCACTAATAAGCAAATGGAATGCAGATAAACCAGTCTCATAACCTGTCTGCCATTTATTCAAACTCCAGCACCATATCAAATTCTGAAAGCTAGTACTGAAAACTAGAGTTTTAACTGAAAGAGAGTTTCATATCTGAGAGAAACATTGGACATTTCAAGAAAGAAAGCTTAGCATAAAACAGCATGCCATGCATTTAATTTGAATGACTTGAATCAACATCTATCTACAACATTTTCTCAAAATACTTACAGTACACAAAAAGCAAAAATGGTTAAATCAGGTTGGCTTCCAAACCTCCCAACACATGATATCTCAGGGAAATGGTGTTGAAACAGCTCCTGATCAAAAGGAGAAACTTTGGCTTAAAATGACTCACCTTTAACCTAAGTTATTTGTTTTTATATTGAAAAACACAAACCTGCTTATTTGACTTATCTATGCAGGTAAGATGAGTCTCCTTTATATCCAGCAGTACTTCCTATATGACAAAATCAAAAAGCATGCATGATATATTAATTAGGTCTTAAAATTAGCTTACATATCTTTCTACATAAAACTCACTTGCTCAATTGTAGATATACCTTTCTTGCCTGACTGCTCTCCAGAACCACAGGAATGACATGCTGCAGCACCTCCTTACCTCCATGCTTAAACAAAAATAGCATTCATATTCAATAATCACATGCTTTAGGATCACATACTGACTCAAAAATACACATGCATGGATTAAAGTGAAACGAGCACCATAAAGAGAGATGTTTACACAACTACTGTACCATTCCTATGTTTGCTTTTCCTAAGAGGTGCACACCGTACAGGATCCTGTTAATGAAACACGATCAAACAGTTACAGGCTGGGGCTGTATATGGTATTTGTGACTAATACAATTGCAAACATACATGAAATCTTTATTGAGAGTACCTGCCGTCTTTCACACACTGCGTCTGCCCTCTCTTCTGACCCGCAGTTCTGTCTTGCTGAGAGGCTGGTTTTGGGCCAAACCGAAGTGAGGGTTTTTCTTGTTTGAGCTGCCGTAAGTGTTTGACCAGTGGCTGATAGATAGACCCATCTTCTCCTCTCCAACGTATCAAGTGAATGGAAAGGGGCTGACTCTTCAGCTTAGACAGAACCACACCTGCCTTTGGATGGGAAAAGTGTTAGTTAGATATTGAGCTCTATAGTTAGTTTTTTCCCCACATTTTTCACAGATCTCTTCTTCTTTATTGCTGATGTAAATTTAAGTAAAACAGATTTTCAAAAAGAAAAAATGTAGGGTGGAGACTTGGTTCTATACAACAGTTGTTGATTGGATGTAGGCAGATCTGAATGTGAGCTTGCAGTTGACTGTAATTTTGTTGTTTCAAAATTTCTGTGAAATTTTGAGACAAATTAGGCCCATTGTCTATGGTCGATTGTGTGGCGATGTATGAAGCACAGCTCACATAGAAGTCACTTTCAAACTAAGTAGTTTTCTGTTGGTCAATGCTGTGAATCTGTGTGACAAACTTCAACTTGTTTTGAAACCTGAATTTTGACACATTCTGCCCTCACGCGAAATTCCCAATTGCGTGGATTCCTACTGAAATGACTGCTTTTCACCTGTAAAATTTCGCCAAACAATGTTAAATGTGAGTGCACTTATAGAAAAGGCTGTGGTTTAAGTGGACAGGAAATGAAACATAAGCATGGATGAATCATTCACAATAGATCTGGTGAATTTCCATTTCTTTAAAGGGGTCATAGGATGCTACATGCACTTTAACATGTAGTTTGAACTGAAATGTGTGTTGGCAGTGTGTGTGCACAACCACCCTATAATGATAAAAATCCACCCAGTGTTTTTTTTTTTAAAATCTGGTTAAATGTTTTCCCCTTTCTCAAATCGAGCCGATCTCAGATGCCTGTCTGTATGACGTCACACAGACAGGCCCCTCCCACGATAGTTTGATTGACAGTAGCGTTTCAGCACAGACTGGACTGGTGTCTTAGACCCGCTCTGAGTGAGCCGTCATCAGTCCGCCATTGTTTCACCGCCGGAGCAGATGTAGACAAGAATGACTCCTAAGCGATTGAGGTGTTCTGTTGTTGGATGTAATAATGAACATAGCACTCGTCATTTACTCCCGACATCTGAGCCGCTGAACTCGCAGTGGATTACATTGTTTCTGAAGGGAATGTGCCCCGATCTACATAAACGCGTCTATGTTCACGCAAATCATTCATGATCCAGCTTCAGCTACAGAAGAAGTGAGTATAATGTTTTGTAATGAATCTTTGTAAATCGCCTTTCCTAATAACGTGCTAATTAGCAAGTTTCACGATGAATGCAGCTAAAGTAAACAGTCTCTCTGAGAGCAGCTCGGAGCAGAGCTCATTAACATTTAAAGGAAAATGCTACAAAACTGCTTGCTCTGAAAAGAGCTGTTTTTGACAGGGTAAAAAAGGTGTTGTTTTACACTACCATTGAGAAATTTTAACCAAACTATGTTGCAGACTTTTCATTAAGACCCTAAAGAATCATATCAACTTGTGGAAAATGGGCATCCGATGACCCCTTTAAAACTTTAAGAAAGCTGCTGCAAATGAGATTTGAGCGCTACAACTTAAATTCTGGTCTGTTTGTCACATAAGCTATTGTGTGTCTTCAGAATATAGCGCACGAATTGCATGACTATTTTTAATGGTACTTTAATAATGATTTTTTTTTTTTGTCATTTCAGGAGCTGTGCAGTTTATTTGATCATCCACTTTGTGGAAAACAGCAGCTCGGGCATTGTACCTAACATCCTTTTTATGTTTCCCAGAGGAAAGAAAACAAAATGATGACAAAACTGTAATTTTTGTGTGAAGTTGGGAACTATTCCTGTCAGGGGCCATATCTTGTGATGAATAAGTCTTAGAATAAGCAAACACAATGAAGCTTATCACGATTATATAATCAGTTCAGGCAAAGCAGATAACAGAGTACACAAATATAAAGCTGTCTCTAGGATTCATTTATGATGGTATGTTGGGTCATGCAGGACAACACATTTTATGGGAAAGATTACTTCTGACCTGCCCATTGCTAGCATTCCTCAGTGATATCCCATTAATTTCATCAATGATGTCACCAGGCTCGGCAAACATATCCACCTGAGCTTGACTACCCTGAAGCAGGTCCAGTAGAAAGACGCGTCCTTCTAGGTACCTTTAAAAAGAAAGGTTATTAAAATATGCGATATGAACAGAAATACTGATTTGGAATCTTTGCTATTAATTCTAGAAAATCGAAAACTTGCAATGTGTGTTAAGCATGATTTTTTTTCAACACAGAGAGCAAACAGGTGATCAGAATGTGTGCACAAATAATTTTTTTAGAAAAACTGGCCAAAATGACATGAACAAATGCAGCATTCAGAATTGAAAAGACATGCCAACATGCTAACCTGAGCACCATCCCCAGCTCTCGACAGGGAACAGCTTCATAGATTTGACACACCTAAAACACAAGCAAGGTTTGCAACATGCAATTCAGCATGACCTCTTCATGCACATACAGGTAAATCAAATACCTAAGAACATTAAGATCGTACCGGAAGCAGCCAGCTTTCATCCAAGAAGCTGCAGTTCTGAGATTAAAGTCACAAATTGAAAGTTTCTAGTAAGAAATGAAGATCTCAAACTCAGCACAATGAAGCACATAGCAAATGCAGGGGACAAGCAGTTCATACCTCAATACTGATCTTAAAGTTCATTTCTGACAGCACCATAGACAGCGATAGAAACGGTTCTGTTTGGAGATATTTGAGACAGTAATTACAGCAAAACAACCAGTATATAACTGCTAAAGTATCTTGGCCAAATAAAAAACTTACCAACAATCTCCTCATTTCTCAGAATAGCAACATTAGGGCAATACCACTGTGAAGAAAGGAAATTATGTTGATTGTCTGTAAAAACAATTTTCAATCATCACTTGAGTGTCTACTAACCTCGATGACTCTGTTTGTGTGCAGCAGGTGTTTTACGACATTTCCCAGAGTTCTCCTCATCAGCATGAGCCGTATGAAGAAGCGTCCTCGACCTTGAGAGGTGATGAGTTTGCTGCAGGCTGTGGTCTGCTGCACAGCCAAAGAAACTGAACTCAACCTTCAGGAGCACACAGAACATTCTGATCAGACAGACCACATTTAGATGCATTTTCTGTTCCATTTTCAGCAAATCTGCGGTTGTGATTAATCAAAAGATGTTATTTTTTAAATATAAAAACAAGGAGACATACATTAGCGTCCAAAAGTATGAGAGTTAAAATGCATTTGGCATTTTTATAATTTAATATATAGTTTTATTGTAATTACCAGCATAACAATTAGGGAATGCCAAAAACAACAATTTCAGAAATTAACTATTTTTTTTATTTATATTACTCAATAATGTATCGTTCTTTTTTATTCTTTGTCGTAATTTAAGTTAGACTTTTAAACCTATGTTATGTTACGCTAAAAATGAGAAGCAATAAGTGCATAATGACTCACCTGCCACATGTGTCGTGGTGTAGAAGCTGTTCAAAACAATGCCAGTAATCTCTATGTGCCAAACTGAGAACAGGCTCTAAAAACATGAATGATTAATGTTCATTATGTAATAAACATAGTGTCACATGCATACACTTTAATTTGCTTGCATACTAAAATTTTAACTAATATTAAAATGAAAAAAAAAACTGTACTGTTTCAAAATATTCATAAAAACAATCTCAGTGATACTAAAATAACAGACTTGGTGCTTCTCCTTTACTATCTTGTCCAACTTACACTTTAGGTTTATAAAGAAATGCTTACGTTGATAGTTTATGTTTGTGTACAAAACTAATTTGAAGCACTGAATCATTGCATGCATAAAATCATGAGAAACATAAACTAAGTTAAGTGCATCCAAACATCTATTGTATATTGTCAATATAGACATCCTTATTATCTGTAAACTGTAACGTGTATGGATATTCCCACAGTGTGTGCCAGGTGTAATGACGGCTCTTATTTGAGTGTTTGTACTGTGTTTGCTGCTGACAGATGATGATGTGCAGGTGTACAGGAGAGTGCGTGTTGGTGTGTGGAGCTCACGCTGTAGTCCCTTTCGCAGTATAAGTTCCAGGAGCTCACAGCAGGATGCCAGGTGTGGGTTGGAGTCAGTCACAGTGCCTTCCGATTTCAAATTCAGAATGCACACTGGGAATAAACATTCGGACGATGGTTAATGGTTAGTTTTCTGTTTTTAATCACAAGATATTATGTAATGTAGGTGGAATAGAACTTGCTTCATTAACCCACACCAAAACAGCACACACTGGCATACTTGGTTGCCCTGGAGCTCACCAAGGCTCTGTGTGTCTTTTGTTTACCCCAGAAGTATAGCGGCCGTTCCTTCTGAGCTGCTTTTTAATTGTCAGTAAATGTGCACATGTATCAAGCAGATGTATTTTGCTGTTGCATCATGTCTCACTTGCTCTTTAGCATCCAACACCATGAGCATCACATTTACACATATAAAGGTGTGGTCACATTAGCAAAAAAGGTCTATTATCAACTGTGTATTGATGCATGGAGAGAAGTCGCTTTCAAACCAAGCAGCTTTCTATTGGTGAATGCACAAATTTGCTTGAACAACAAGCTAAATCTGCATGGGGATTTTTCGCTCTCATTTACAACTCTAGATCGCTTGGATTTCTATAAAATTTTGCACATGAAATTTCACAGAGCAATGGTAAATGTGACCCCACCTTAAAAGGTGTATAAAAACAGCTAGATGGAGAGTACTAGTCAGGGGTGCATTTCCCAAAAGCATCGTTAGCTAACTATGGTTGTTAGTTCCATTGAACTCTATTGGTAACGACGGAACATGCGACTATACTTGTTTTTGGGAAACGCACCCTAGGCACAGAATCTGTGAGGGATAGCTGTCTCTGAAATCGAATACTTCTCTACAATATTGTGCGAAAAACAGTACGCCAAAAGAGTTGTATGTCAGAATTAATTTGAAAAACAGTAGGTGAAAAGTACCTGGATGACCTAATGCAGTGGTTCTTAAACTTTTTATACCAAGTACCACCTCAGAAAATATTTGACTCTCCAAGTACCACTATAATGACCAGCAATAAAATACAGTAGCGTAGTTGGCCTAACTATTCAACTACAGCTCTGCATAGTTAAAAAATGAGGCAGTTTTATTATTCCTAATAAGAATATTTATTGTTGTCAGCCACTTTAACATTGTAAATCCACAGGTTGAACATTAACACTGCACTGTGCTTACAAACAAGTAAATAAAAAAACTTAAATAATGATTAAATTAAAATGTGTTGTACCTAAAAGTAAAAAAAAAACTGTATTGTACTTAATGCACTTAAAGACTGGTTGCCCACTGAAGCTAAGCAGGACTGAGCCTGGTCAGTACCTGGATGGGAGACCTCCTGGGAAAACTAGGTTGCTGCTGGAAGAGGTGTTAGTGAGGCCAGCAGTCGGTGCTCCCCCTGTGGTCTGTGTGGGTCCTAACACCCCAGTGTAGGGACGGGGACACTACACTGTCAACAAGCACCGTCCTTCGGATGAGACGTTAAACCGAGGTCCTGACTCTCTGTGGTCATGAAAAATCCCAGGATGTCTTTCGAAAAGAGTAGAGGTGTGACCTCGGCATCCTGGCCAAATTTGCCCATTGGCCTCTGATCATCATGGCCTCCTAACAATCCCCATATCTACTGATTGGCTTCATCACTCTGTCTCCTCTCCCCCAATAAGCTGGTGTGTGGTGGGCGCTCTGGCGCACTATGGCTGCCGTCGCATCATCCAGGTGGATGCTGCACACTGGTGGTGGATGAGGAGATACCCCCTGACAATGTAAAGCGCTTTGAGTGCCTAGAAAAGCGCTATATAAATGTAATGAATTATATTATTATTAATGCAAAAAAAAAAAAAAACTTAACTCAAATAAAGAATAAGTTAAAATGTATTGTGCTTTAACATTAATTTATAATTAATTTAGTGATTCCTCTGCGTACCACTAGTGGTACTCCTACCACACTTTGAGAACCATTGACCTAAGGTCATTGTTTTTTTTGGTTTTTTTTCTGGCATGCTTTCCTTCAAGTGGAAATAGAAAACCTGAAATGTTGCTGGAGTGGAGTGATTATAGAACGTTTTTGTTCCAGACCGGTTTGTTGTGTTAATCGGTTTGGAGGAATATTAATAATTATTATTATTTGTTTATAGAACTGTTGTATAAAAGGTATTACATAGCGAGTTTAGCAACAGTTCTACTGAAATGTTAAACTGCTGTGGCCTCGTGCTGATATAGCCTACTGCTTAAATCCTCATTTATTACCATGGCAAAAGTATGCATACTCATACTCAATAGACACATGCTGTTTTTATTAAATAAAATGTTAGTTTAGCATATTTCGTTCCCGTGATTTACACACAAACAAAACATGTTGCAAATATTGCAAATGACCCTGTCTCTTCTACATAGAGCAGCAATTTAAAAATCGCTTCCAATCATCAAAACGGCTTGTCTGAGTGCGCAAAACAAGTATGCTAGCTATCTCTATCTACCAGCAGGCACTGCTAACCGAGCAGCAAACCTGTCATCTTCAGCTGCGTGACCAGAACAACTGAGCAGTAAAACAGCACATCGAGGGTCAGGTACTACCTGAAGTGTATGATAACATATAGGATGTGAAACGTACCTTTAAGTGTTTCGAGAAGCGGGTCTTTTGCAGGCATTATTGTGAATGCGCATATTCCGCGACATCCATCCAGTTTCACTGAAAGCAAATAGGCTACTAATAACCTCTCATCAAAGGTTTGTTTTCTCAAGGTTGGTTCATGAGTGAAATGTGAAGCACATTGGTGACACCTGTCAGAAATGTACATTAGTCAGTCTCTACCGCCCCTTTGTGAACCCATATGATATGATGGTGATGAAGGTGATGAAGATGATGGTGGCGCCCTCTCTATTAATTCAATAAATCAACTCGACAGATACTGTAGGCTATAGTCGCTCCCAGAAGACTTCAAAACATTATTCAAACTGTGGAAGAATAATAATTTTTAAAAAAAGTATAAAAATACAAATAAAGAAATAACAACTAAACCACAATATAGCGTACTGTAGTATATAATAAAGCATTTTTTTTCTTTTTTTACTTGTCTAATAATATCCACTAGTGTAGGCTATAGATTCATTTTTTTCAACACGTTTCCATCACATCGTATTAAGTAGCCTATTGAGTTCAGAAATGTTACATTTTAGACTTGAATAAATAAATGAAATGGCAAGCTCCACTGTCCATGTTATTTGCTAATTATTATTTGGAAATGATGCACAATAAAACATTCTGTTCACAAATTTACCATTATTTATGTATGCCTGCAGGAAACTGGCCCTCTAACACTATGGCATTATATATATATATATATATATATATATATATATATATATATATATAGTCAGTTTTCCTCAGATTTTGAAGGAGACAACAGTGCAGAGATTAATTGAATGTTGAAATGTTCTGTTTTATTTAGAGCTTTCATTAAAATGGTGGCGTCATTATGAATCAGTGTATGTATAGACACAGCACATCTACAGAAGACTGCATTTCGTATTGATTCACAGCATGAGGGAATTAAAATTCATCAGCCCATAGTAGCCACTGGTTGTGATAAGTGCTTTTTGAATTACCATTTCAATTCAGAATTACCATTTACTCAATAAGTTTAAAGCTTATGTCTAGTTACCTTGGTGATAATTGTATGTTGCTGATACAGCTGGTGCACGCTACTGATTATATTTTAAATATTCAGATTTTGTCAATCTGTGAATCTGAGTTAAAGGAACAGTTTACCTGAAAATGAAAATTTGCTGAAAATGTATTCCCCCTCAGGCCATCCACGATGTGGATGAGTTTGTTTTATCATCAAAAACAGATTTAGAAAAATGTAGCATTACATCACTTGCTCACCAATGGATCCTCTGCAGTGAATGGGTGCCGTCAGAATCAGAGTCCAAACAGCTGATAAAAACATCACAGTAATTCAAGTAATCCACATGACTCCCATCAATAAATGTCTTGTAAAGTGAAAAGATGCATGTTTGTAAGAAAACAAATCCATTAAGGCATTTTAAGTTTATAAACTGTCACTTCTGGCCAAAATATCCATAATTCATAATAACGTACATCCCCTGTTGTCCTCGTCTAATTGTTTGGAAATGTTTGATATAATTGGCCAAAATGGTTTTCACTTGTAAACGGTGCTTGAGTTGTGCATATTTCTCTCCCGATTCAGAAAAGAAGACTTTTTCACTGGAAGCAATATTATGGATAGAGAGGATACATATTTATGCTGAATGCAACAAACACACAGCTTTTCACTTCACTAGACATTCATTGATGGAGTGGAGTCACGTGGATTAGTAAAGGCGAGTACATTTTCAGCGATTTTTAATTTTTGGGTGAACTATTCTTGTAATATTTCCATAAGAATCATACTTGAACCTTTACCAAGCTGAACAATTCTAAAAATCCATGTTCTTCCTTTTTCTTTTTTCACTTTTAATTTAGCACGAAAACACACACTGACAATTCCTTTGCGATGTTGGGCCTTTGCCTAACAGAAGTTCAAATGTACTTCTCTTGTTGTTGAAGAAAGTCTTAGATCCTACTTGGACCTACTTCACTGAAGGCTCAAGTCTGCTGGGAGGCAACATCTCTGTTCAATTCTCAGAGCATGCTTTAACTCACAGGTTCTTCCATTAGAACTGATTGGAAGCATGAGGTAAAGGACGGCCCCCACCTTTTACGTCCCAGTGTGATGTCTGAAATGATGGAGCTTATGAAGGATGCAGCAGGATCTAGACTTCAGCAGTAATTCCCTTCAAGAAAACGGCATGCTGCTTAGGTGAATGCTGATTTCTTACCTTCTCAGCCACGATGACCCTGTAATGGAGTATATGTCAAGCGGTTCTGGCTATATTAATGGCAGAGGATTTATATTTACAGGGTTAGAGGTTTAGAACAAACCCTGAATCAATCAATAAAGCACTGCAATAACAAGCTTTCAAGTACAGTACAATGTGTAGGCTATCAGTGTGAACACTGTTTACTTTCACCATGTTCTACAACAAGCCTAAGCTGACAATATCCATCTAGACACAATCAACAGCTTTCATTTAAGCTGGATCTTCTCTTTCCCCTTTCCCCCCCAGAGAGAAAATAAGGAGGCATTAGGAAAAAGTACACGAGTGTGAGGTGTGAGGTGGGCAGATGTGACATCTTTACGGAGAGACAACCTTGCCTTATCAACATCAGATAAGTCATCTAATGCCCCTGAGAGGCAAGTCAGAGGAGTAGCTTAATTGGTGAACTCTGATTTGACTGTAACACTAGACTACCACATTGTATTTGCAGCAGAGAGTTATTAAAAATGTGTGGGGGTTGATAGTCTGAAAATCACAAACAAGAACAGACTAGAAAAGGCCAACTCACTGCTAAAATGTACCACTGTGCAGGTTACAGTGAAATTAAATGAAGAAATTAAACCTGAACTAAAGAAATACTTCACATGCAGGTTTTGTTTAGGATTTTTAAAATGCATTATTCTGTTTACTATTGCAAAATGTACACGGTAACAGAAGCGCTTCTGCAATTCTGCTCTAAAAATAAAGGTGCTTGACGATGCCATAGAAGAACCTTTTTTGTCTAAATGGTTCCATAAAGAACCTTTAACATCTGAAGAACCTTTGTGTTTCACAAAAGGTTCTTTGTGGCGAAAGAAGGCTCTTCAGATTATAAAAAGGTAAGAAAGAGATGGTTCTTAAAAGAACGTTTGACTGAATGGTTCTTTGTGGAACCAAAAATGGTTCTTCTGTGGCATCGCTCTGAAGAACCTTTTAAGCACCTTTATTTTTAAGAGTGTGAAGTGGCATTTAGGTGTCATTACATAGATTGTTCTGTGCTGCTTAGAGGTGGCATAAATGCATTTACACTGCACTTACAACTGTATATTTTAATAGGGGCTGAGGTGGCTCAGAGCAGTCTTAATTTATTCTGGCTTTTATGCAACATTGCATCTGCACACTGAATTTTGAGCAGGCACAGAGCAGCCTTAACTCGACTGTGTAAAGAAGCCTTTAATCATTTTATGTCCAGTGATGCATTTTTTTTTTTTACTTTTAATAGAAATAAAGCTGAAATAAAATGTCTATTAGAAAAAAACAAAACTTAAAAACAAAAAAAAAAACAAATGAAAATTAGAAATGTTGAAAAAACTGAAAAAAGGTTTATTTAAAGTACTAATATGACTAAAACAGAAATAAAAATAAAGATAAAAAAAATATATAAATGACAAAAGCGCATAGCAAAATTACTAAAAAAACATTATAATAGAATATATATAATGTAGTTTTTATAGTTTATAATATTATTTAGTTTATACCAAAATAACACTGCAGTGATGTATTTTATTATGTTTTATTGTTGAAATTGGCATACAAAAATGTATTATCCAGGAAAGGTTTTATGTTATGACATGTTACAGGGTCATCCAATACACTTTCATCTCATGTAATGTTCATCTTGTCCCACATCACATGAGAGTTAAGAAACAGGAAATTAATAAAGAATCACATTTTTATGATCTCAAGTCATTACAATTCGTTCAACCACCAACCCCCTCCTCCACTGCAGATTCTACCAAGCAAAATATTCTTACTGGTAGTCTCTACCATTAGTAGTGCAGACTTTTGTCTTTATTTACTGATGTTTATGTCATTCCTATATATATATATATATATATTATTTTGTGAACCACAACAGGAGATACCGTTCTCCAAGTTTCTGTTTTCCATACAACTATACTGCATTTTGATTTATACCATCACACGTGCAATTGAGATCTAAGTGCTCTTGCAAACAGAAGGTGTGTAAATGATGACAACATTTTCATTTTGGGTTGGACTAACTCATCTAAAGGAAGAGATTTCTTTCAGGACACATTATTTGTATTCTTTTTCTGACTGCCTTGGTTTTCCATTGACTATCATGTCCGTTCTGTGTCAAAAGCTCAGATCAGTGTTTGGCTCCTGATGAAGAGCTGAACTGTTGACCGGCAATAGGACACATGAGAAGAATAATCATGGAGAGCAGTGGAGCATCATCATCATCCTCAGTAGAGAGCCAAAATTGATTTTGCCACTCCACAGCTGTCCTCTCTGCATACAGCAATCAGTTTGACTGCAGAGTGTCTCTTCAAGAAGAACCCTAAGTATATGGTTCATGGACACCAAAGTCTCCTGCACAATTACATAGTGCACGAAGAGACTTTTGACACCCATGAAGGACACTGAAATGAACATATTCAAATTCACTGACCTGTTTCTTCTTGTAATATTACTAAAAAACTAACTACTTGCCAGAATGGCAACAGCTGGTGCTTTACAGAGAAGAAATCCTTAGAAATAGATGCCCTCATACTCTTTTTAGCACATGAGCAGCATCATGGGAAGTATAAAATAACCACAAATCAGGTTAAATAGTGATTGTAAAATACATACTTGCGTCAGTCGTTAAATGAGGCTGCAATACTGGGCTTTTTCCACTGATGGAGCAAATCAGAGCGCACATATTACCCACAAACTCTCTAAGCAACAGCTGAGCTTAAAGCAGCTACACGCGAGAACCAGCCAACTGGCACATTCCCAGTAATGCCAGATGCAGGGAGAAGCAAGATAAGTGGATGTTCTTGTGCGGATCTGTTTCCTAACAGCTTGAGAGATGATTCTACTGTTTACATTCTGCTGCTTGGAAAGACCAACCTGTATTTTTCACTGCGGATTTACTTGTGAACAAATGTTTATTTATTCATTGTTAATT